CTGCCCAATGGGTGCGCAGCCACCGAAGGTGATGTCTGATGCATTGATTGGCTGACCATTACCAAGGAGGATTGGTTGCACAAGCACCACAACAGAATCCTCCCCACATACAACACTCACACTATCAGGGCTCACTTGCATTCCAGTGACAGATTTAACCAGAGCAGGAGCCACTTGCTTGCCCAGATAGCCAGTCGCCAACACCTGGGGAGCCCCTACGCCAACCTGATAGCCGGTCGAAGCCACCTTGGAAGCGCCTACGCCAACCTGATAGCCGGTCAAAGCCACCTGGGGAGCGCCTACGCCAACCTGATAGCCGGTCGAAGCCACCTGGGGAGCGCCTACGCCAACCTGATAGCCGGTCGAAGCCACCTGGGGAGCGCCTACGCCAACCTGATAGCCGGTCGCCACCGCCTTGGGACCACCTGCGCCAACCTGGTAGCCGGTCAAAGCTACCTTGGGACCACCTACACCAACCTGGAAGCCAGTCGAAGCTACCTTGGGACCACCTACACCAACCTGATAGCCGGTCGAAGCTACCGGGGGAGCCCCTACGCCAACCTGGAAGCCGGTAGAAACCACCTGAGGAGCACCTACGCCAACCTGGAAGCCAGTTGAAGCCACCTGAGGACCACCTACGCCAACCTGTAAACCGGTCAAAGCCACCTGGGGAGCCCCTACGCCAACCTGGAAGCTGGTAGAAGCCACCTGGGGACCACCTACGCCAACCTGGAAGCCGGTTGAAGCCACCTTGGGACCACCTACGCCAACCTGGAAGCCGGTCGAAGCCACCTTGGGACCACCTACGCCAACCTGATAACTGGCTGCCGCCACCACCTTAGCAGCACCTAATCCATTCTGATAACCTGCTGGCACCTGAGGGGTCTTCACTTGAAATCCAGGCTTTAGTTGAGCTTTACAGCTACAACCTAATAAAAGAAGCAGCACTATAACCCTCTCATGCACTGCCATTGTTTCAGAGCTGGGAGCAAAGCACACTGATTTGGCTGCTTTGCTTACAGACTATATTGTAGTTGCTGAAATCCTCTACACCTGCCAGGCCTGTTCTGATTTGTCAGCATGGAATCCTCACCAGGCAGCGTTAATCAAATGTTACTTGGGCCCTAATGAATGAAATTTATTTTTCTCCCAGCACATTCACTTCTTCTGCAACCACGTATTTGGTACTGCTGTGGTGTAATTCCATACAGCACGTAAGCCGCGAGATCTTAGGCTGTTTCCACACTTTGGTCGATTCAGCCAGTTTATGTGGATTTAGCGCATGTGTGAACCCTCAGATCCCCCGCAAGTTTCTTTCGAGTCTATTTAGCAAGTTCATCTGCTGATGATATGTGAGCAGAACATACGCCCAAGAAATGACTCTCATGATCAGTGCAATACCCAGAAGAACCAAGAATGAATGTGAAATGATCTGAGTCCACATAAAAGCTGAAGAGCACCAAAAATTGACTGAAATTGCTTTTAGAAGTCGGCAGGCAATATAAATTCAAAGTGAACCAAGTTCTTAGTGCACATTCTGGTGCACTTAAAGCAGAGTGAGTTTTGTTCTTTTAAAGTGAAGTACATGTGAAAACAGCCTTTGTGGTGATTTTTGGTTTAAATAATTTCAACTCTTTGACATGACTGCACATGGGTAACATAATCGTGGGACATATTGTGCCTTCACGTGGGACAGAAATTTCAAGAAGACATGCCCCTTTGAATGCAAGATTCAAGAGTTCTTTATTGTCAACACATCAATGTATATGTACAGTGTGTTGAAATACCTCCCCCCGCCCATGGTGCTTCACATACATACAACAAATACAATAAATAAATGTAACTGGTAAATAAAAATTGTAACAATTTCTTTGGACTGTTTTTCATGCTAAATGTTGAACTTCAGCATAGTTTTATGGTATTGGACCACTGGGTGGGGGGATAGGACAAACTGGCCTAAAGACTATGTCTTGTTTACTCAGGGTGAGCCATTGGTATGGTCAGTGATATTCAAATCACGGTCCTCAAGGTCCGAGCACTGCTGATTCTCCAGCCTTCTTTTACCTGTGAGCCCGGTGTGAAGCCTCTGTGGCCAATTAGAGTCAGTAATCATTAAACTAACTACCTGGGAGAACTGAAAACAAGGCCTGGATTTGGGAATCGAGGTCAAGACTTGAAGAGCTCGGGTTAAGGTGGAAAAGTAGCTTGCAAGTGGGGACACTGAGCCATTGGGGACACCGAGCCATTGGGGACACCGAACAATTGGGGACACCGAACAATTGGGGACACTCCCTGCACCCCAGGAGCCCGAACCATGAGAACAGAGCATGAGTCACTAGATTGCTGGGAAAGCAGCCTGACACACTGGTCACACAGCATGTGGGGTCTGTACTTGTTTTGGCTGCTACAGCCATAGCCTAACCATAAGGGCATAACCAACACCCAGAGCACCACCATAATTCTGCTAGAATCAGAACAACTTTCTGTTTATTAATCACACTCCCTATAGTCTGTAATACATCAGAATGAACCTATCCTCAGGTCACGTAGCAGTAATTAAATGCACCTGTACTCCACTTAATTAATTGAAACTTGATTGAAAAACGCCTTTTGAGAATCACCAATTATCTACTTCCTAATCAAATTCATTTGTTTTAGCCAAAATACTTATAATTGCCGGTAAAGTTTGTTTTTGTTTTTTTTTTAATCTGTGAAATGGACAATTATGCAAACTAGAACTGCAGTGTTCTTTTATGCTTTTATTCATGCTGAATTTGTGAAACAGCAGTTTTAAATCAGTCAAATGAATAATGTCAGTTGACCTCAAGGCTTTTGATAGATTTTTTGTTTTTATCAATGAAAACATCATATGACATGCATCAACTTTTTCGGTATATATTTTCAGGTATATTGCAGTGCTGTCTCACACCTCTTGGCTGGGGCTTCAGGTCTGGCCTACATTGTGTATGTGTGGAAATGCCATTTTGTCCCTGTGTCGCACCTGTACTGTAGATGAATGCTTCAATAAAAAGAGAGGAACACTGTGGTCCTAAACCTGCAGGCTTTTAGGATCACTTCCTGTCCTCAGCTCTGTGTAATGGATTGGAAATTAGTCACCCTCCAATCAATCAATTAATCAATCAATCAATCTCTTCCTTTCTTCCTTCCTTGTTTATCAGACTCTGTTCCTATAGAGAGCATTAGACCATGAGTATTGGGTAGAGTGGGCGTGGCCAATCTTATCCAGAAAGGGCCGTTGGGTATGTGGGATTTCACTCATATCTCAAATTAGATTACTAATTAGAGGACTGATTGGCTGAAGAGTCCTCACACCTGGGTTTGAACAGCTGACCTAAAGGTTATCCCAAAAACCCGCATACACACCGGCCCTTTGTGCGTAAGGTTGTCAGTCCCTGGGGAAGAGTAATAATGCCTGGCAAGAAACTCATCAGAATTAATTTGGCCCAGAAGCACAGCGACAAATAAACACGTGTTGTTTTACTCTTTCAAAACAGGTAGAGTTCTTACACAGCTAGGAACTTTCTTTTTTCTTTTTTTTGGAGTGCACTGGCTCAGCCTTGCAGCTATGTTGGTTACATCTCTGCGTGTGGAGTATATGAGCTTTAACTGTGTTTACATGTGACCATGTGAAGTGGCACCTTTAAAATTCTCCATAATATGAGAGTGTGTGTTTGTGTGTGAGTGTGTATGAAACAGAGCTGATTTTATCCCCTCCGGCTACAAACAAGCACCTGATAGAAAATTGTGTATGGGGGTGATTTTATGATTGCTACTAAAACGCCCTTCAAACAACACAATTCCTAATTGTTTAGATAATTTGGACACTTTCCAGAGGTTCAGTTAATTTAATTCTGATTAGTACTATTGATTGCAGAAAACGCCCTCATTGCTTCTTGCATATTCTGTCACTTAGACAAATGTTGGAAACCATATGATTGCATATTGGATCATATGGTTTATATAAGTAATAAATTTGGTAATGACGTGCCATATAACAGGCAAGCTTTTTCTGCATGTCTGACCACCTGTTTACACGACAAAGGTAATCTGAGGTAAGCACCAGAATATGATGCCAGTAATATATGGAACCGATTTCATGCATAGAGCGTTTGATCTATCTCTACTTCACTCCGGGTGTGTAAAGAGAAAAAAAACTGCATTAATGTGATATAGGGAGAGGTAGGTAATTAATGGGTAGCCAATGAAATCATATAATCTAATCCCCATATCTGTATTCTGTCTTGGTGTAATTGATTTTTTTAAGTTATTGTCTTATTGGTGGAAGCCCTACATTTTGCCAAATGGATTGTGGTCACAAATCACTGTCCCCGCCCTAACCCCACAAGACTACCTGACCTCTGTGCTGCTATTCGGTGCCTCTCTCATCAGTCACCGGCAAACAGCCAATAAAAATCCCAGGGAATGGAAACTCTCCTTGATTAACTTCCCACAGCCATATGTACATCCCATGTAAAATTTGTAATCAATTTTATATGAAAAGTATTGCCGTTTGGGATGTGTTGGTAGCATAGCAGATTACAGGCAAGACTTACGGTTTGGGACCCATTGTATGAATAATGAAACAGAAAAAAAATGGATGATATTAAATGTATTTTGTCGTCTCATTTAGAGATGGTCCTACTGATGGTTATCAAGAATTTTCACAGTGGTGACTGGAGAAGACATTCTCATTAGCAGAAAAGTATCGTTCGTTTACTGTGTCACCACCTCACAGGGAAAATAATATTTAAATAGTAATATAATGAATGCATGTACAAATTAATATACTTGACAAGACTCAAGTGAGTACCCTTAAAGGGATTTGAAGGTTTAATTGTCAAATACGTCTTCAGCCTATAAAATTGCTGTTAAGACGCTTTATTAGAGAATATTTTTTTCTTCATAAAATGTTTTCAGCAGATTATAACCGCAGTTAGTTCAGAAGTCATTTATTTCCCAGTTGTACAAAGCAGGGTCTTGGTGAGTCTGGCATCCCGGGATGGGTTGCCAGTCCTGCAGGTGACACAGATTTTTTAATTTATAAGCTTACTGGTAGCAAGATTCCAATGACAAGCTGTTGCAGTTTGTACTGTAGTAAATGCAGATAACACAGCAATCTTGTACCTGTACCAGCGGTGTGGCTACGCGAAGCCCGTAGATGTCCAGCTGGACATTAAAATTAAGTTCTTAACTTGAATCGTTTTGTTGAATTTAACCACAACATAAAATATACAATTTTACCTGCACATGTTACTTTCTTTTGGTAGCTAGATAAATTAGTAGCAGGCTAACTTGATCCACCCATTTTTTTATCGGCTTAAACTGGTCAGTTTTGTGGGGCAGGCGGCTCAGACCCAATACACGGCACAAGCAACAGTTTCATAAGGGGGGGGGGAACACAATTTAAAAACAAAGGCCTGTTTCGTGGGGGTGGGGGTGGAGCACAAATCCAGATCCGCCTCCCCGTCTCCTCTGGTTCCTTTGCGCCTGGGCACAAGGCTGAGGTGAACCCAGGATACAATGATAGTCCTTAGTTACACAATGTATTAGTAAAGTCACAACGTAAACAGCTTTGAACAATACGATTAAGGAAGGTGATCAGTTTTCTGCTCAGTGCTTTGAAATGCAAATAAGGTTGTGAATCAGGTCATTACACTTTCCAAGAAGACATAATACATACACATTACAATACCAGTGAATGAAACATTCGCAAGAAATAATCTGGGGAGTAGAAGGCTAGAGAACAAAAGCACAATTTTAAGCTGCAGAAGAACTGCTACTTCTCAGGTGACCAGGTCATAAAATCACCGTACGGCATGAGAAGATCAGCGAGATGCCATCCCATCTGTTACTAATCATAACCCAGACACCAGCAGAAGTTCTCCCAGTCAAACCCACGTCGCCATGGGTAATGCTGTGGTAGCCCAGGGCCAAGATGCTTGTAGGAGTCACAAAGGTTCATGTTACTGAACCTGCCACTGACTGAATTCTACCTG